CTTTTTTGAGATAGGGTCTTGCTATGCAGTCCAGGCTGGCCTTGAGCTCACTTAGTAGCCCAGGCTGGTCTCGAACTTGCAAGGCTCCTCCTGCCTCAGCCTCCCGAGTGCTGGGATTACAGGCGTGTGCCACCACGCCCAGTTCACTATTGTATTTAAATGACCATGTGTGATGACTTCCATTACTCATTACCAGTTACAATGTAAGTGACCTGCATGCAGGAAAAGCAAACATCTTTCTCACAGATGCAGTTTTCTCCCAGACTAATAGGAGGTGATACCCACAGACATCAAAGATATCAAAGATATTCAAAGAATGATCATATATTTTTACAAGGCTTCCAACACAGAAAGTACAACTGCTTATTCTTATTTTTGGTAAATAATATGTCACACTCCTACAAAGCTAAGAGATTTAACATTTTTAGTGGCCACATACCAGCCCCTCAGATAGACCAGCCTCAGGCATTTTTATCACTGTCTTCCTATAAAGTATGGAACCGCTTTCCAATTACAAAGTACGCTATACAGCACAATTACCATTTTTCTACTTCTAAGGATCATTTCCTTAAGATTTACTCCCAGGAGTGGAATTCTGATCACCTCAAAGACCCATGAAACCCACCGCTCAGGAGCACGAGAGGGATCCGCCACCCTCACCGCCTTCCCCAGCCGTGGGTAGAAAGGGAATCAGCACAACTAAAAACAGAACAGCTTTGACAAGACACGTCATGCTTTTTAAAACTTAACCAATAAATTTTAAATGACTCGCTATTGTTTACTTTGCTTATCTTTGATAACAGAGAAAGCTAAAGGTGATTCAGAAGTGCTGTTGGGGGGCTCTATTTTTGCTTACTTCAGATAAAAGCCTTTCATGAAGACAGATAGTGGGAGATCCTAAATATGGTATCTTGTGATGATTTTCAAAACCACAGAAGAAAATACAACTCTTTGTTGGTGGTGGTAGTGGCAGCAGTGGTGATACTGAATCACACCCTGGGCCTTGAGCGTGTAGATGAGTGTGCTACCACTGAGCTACACCCCATCCTGCTACCTCCCAGTGAGGTGCCTGGGTGGACCCCAAGAGTATAGTTTGGGGAACAGAACTGGCAGGTGGGATGGTTACAGTAGTAGTGACAGTAAAAGGTACTGTCACACTGGTATCTACTATGTACGTAATCTCTTTTATTTCACTTAACTCTCATTTTTAAAATCCCAATGATGTAGATATTACTGTGACCCTGCATATTGAAAAGAAAGTGGGGGTCACTTGCCAAACAGGTCCTTTTGCTAGTAACTGCAGACCTGGATTTGCAGGATTAGTGACATTAGTGACAATGCCCAGTTCTAGAGGACGAAGAAGGAGCTTCGCTGATTTGGGGTTAAAGGCAGCCGGGCAGGTCGGGCAGTGGTCAGAACAGGGTGGCCTCTGCCCCTGGCGTCCTAGTTCATGCAAGCAGCTTCTTGGGCAGGCACTGGTCTCAGCTGGGTCAGCTGGCGGCCTGCCCCCTGGTCCTGCAGGATGAAGGTGACCCCTGGCCGGAGCACGAGGCCAAACTATTGTCTGTAGCTCTGTAGGAAGCCGTTTGAAAGGGTCATTGAAAAATGATCTTTCTAAATCAAGCTGTACCAATATTTTTATTTCCTGTCATGTCATGCCACATTTAAAGGCATTAAAGCCTGGGAAACAAATCTGTGTGACTTAATTTCAGAAAAACAAAGGGTCCCACCCTCTAAGGGAGTGCACAGGCCGGATGACATGCATTCTTTGCAGAATGAGACCTTGTTTTTGGGACCTAAGGGACATGCAATGAGAAAGTACCTTTAAACCCAAACAGCCTTGTAGAATAGATGGCATATGCCCTGATAGTTATACATATGAGCTCCCCTGCTCATGGTTCTAATCACTTTTGAAATAAATTGACAGAGAAACTTAGGTTAATTGTATGGTTTAGAATTTATGCTTTGGATAAGTGATAAATCAGTCTCTAGTTTGGCACTGGCTCTATGTAGTATTAGTAGAGAAGAGAAATCCAGAAGTCTGCTCCTCAACTAAGACAAACAATAAGAAGTAAAATGGGGCACCTACTGGCCTATGTATTGGGGTCACTGGGCATGTCTTCACTATTCACTTCTCCCCAGAAAGCCTGTCTCCATGGTGAATAAGGCAGATGCATTGTGAATACCCTGAAACTTAGTAAGGGCCACTGATGTAAGACTGAGAGAAAATACCAAAAGCTAGAGTAGTAAACAGCAAGGTGTCCTCTCTTCATAGTGTGAGCAAGGGTCAATTCTTGTTAAAAACAGAGCCTTAGAGAAAGAATGGAGGGAGCCCCAGATAGCAAGGGTTACAGATGAGAATACAGGACTTGTGCCCCAAGGGAAGCTCTTCCGTCGGTTCCCACAGCTGCAGAAAGGTGAGGCTAGGAGTGACCTTGGCTCCGGGTTCTGTAGAAAGCAGGCAAACCTCGGCACTTCTCAAAGTGGAGAAGCCCTCTGCTAAAAACAGGTAAACTACTAGCCGGGCCTGGTGGTGCACGCCTGTAATCCCAGCACTCGGGAGGCTGAGGCAGGCGGATCTTGATGATCATCAAGATCATCAAGTTCAAGACCAGCCTGGGCTACAAAGTGAGTTCAAGGCTAGCCTGAACTGCATAGTGAGAGCCTGTCTCAAAAAGACAAAATAAAATAAAATAAAATAGCAGCAAAACAGGTGAACTACTGTTCAGCTGGGATCCAGCATGTCCCCCAAAGGCTCAGGGTGTTGAAGGCTTGGTTGCTGATGGGCTTTTGGGAAGTCATTGGACCACAAGGACTCTAATGTCATTAATCCATTGATTACTCCACTGAAGAGATCATAATTTGATGGCATTACTGGGAGGAAGTGGAAACTGAGGAAGCGAGGTCTAGATGAAGAAATGGATCATAGGGGTGTGACCTTGGGGGCTGTTTTGTCCCTGGGCCCTTCTTCACTGGCTTTTTCCCTCTCACTCTGCTTCCTGGACCTCAGTGCACAGAAAGTCACCTGGGGCCTTTATACAAAGTGGCTCTGATTCAAGGGGTCTGGGTTGGAGGCTGAGACCACATTTCCAACAAGCTTGAGTAGCAAAGCGCCACAGGTCAGGAAGGTCTTTTCTTAGTGGCCCTCCAATGTGTCCAGGGGAGGGGAATGTGTTAGTCACGAGGCCCTGCGGAGGTGGGGGAGCACGTCATGTCAGTGTATCAACGGGATAATCTTACCATAAAAAAACAGTGCTGCTCCAGGCAGCAGATCACATGTCACTCACCATGCAACTGGCCACCACGCTTATGATGACTGGTTGCTTCTGGATTTTTCCAGAAAAGTCTGTTACTTGCGTAGCACACAGAAAGCACAACAAATATCCATGGCAGGAATAAGTGAATGCAGGAAGGCGCAGAAGGAAGAAGGGAGCTGTGTGAACTTCGCTCCCAGCTGGCCCTGGGGCACCCTGGGATCATTCTGTAAAGTTCTCTTTTGGTCCTCCATTGAACTGGGGGAGCAGCACACAAATATGAGCTGGGCTGAGAGTGAGGGTGGTAGGATTGGGAAGCTTGCCTTTCTCCCTCTGGCTCTGTTCGGGATACACATATCACTGTTTTTTCTTTTCTAAATCTCTTGAGAACAAGCAATAATGCCCCATTCTCCCATGGACTTTTATTCCTGAACACATCTGCATGTAATTCCTAAGAGCAAGGCCATGCTCTTACAGGCTCGCAGGCAAGGGATCAATTGCAGGAAAGGTTCACATTGATATACTATCCCACCTACCATCTGCATCCAATGTTGTCATCTTGCTCATGGATCAATTTTATAGCCAGACCTAGAAGGCTCTAAGGGCCGAACGCATATTAAGAATTAATATAAGTAATTAAGAATTAATATGAGCAGAGTGCTTTGGCATTTGGGAAGCCCTTCTGCTGCATTAGCTCTCTGGCTCATCTTTTGCCTCTCTGAGGTCGGCAGCAGTGGCCCCCTTGTGTCACCTAGGGTGGAGGAGAGGCTGAGGACATAAAATTCCAACCCCAAGCTCAGGGCCCTCTCACCCTCCCATCACTGCTTGGTGCTGATTTTAAAGACCTGACTCATTTTAGTGCCAACGGACTGACCACTAATCCAAACATTTTAAATTCAAAAAAAGAAAGAGCTTTTGGGTGCTTTTCTCTTACTGTGTACTTCTAAGTCAGCACTATGGATTCTAACTAATACCCAGAGCTGCATCCTCAGAATGAACCCTGAGTGACCACGGGGAGCAGCCCAGTTTTCTTCGGGAGGCTGGCGAGGTGGCACAGCGGCATGGCCTCCCATGGGCCTGTCCAGGATGCTTGCAGAGCCCAACCCACATCACACACTGGACTAGAATCCCAACCAGCAAACAGTCCTGTTTGGGGCTGGCCTTGAACACAGAAAGCAGAGATACACTGGAAGTCTCTTCCAGGCCACTGGCAAGCGCTAGTCAGCAGTGGGCAGGAAGTTTCTTAGTCTCAGGATTAGCCTAAAGGGGACACAAACTCACCTACCTGCCTGCTGAGCAGGAAAGCATCAGCTTTGGAAGTGGAACCGTGGGAGTCCAATCAGCACTCTTCCATTAGTTCAGCTGCCTGGGGCAAGTCATGAGCCATGCTGGGCTCACCCCCATCATCCACATCCCCAGAGAGTAACGGGCACCACGCAGAGGGCACAAAGGGCAGGCACAGAGCCTGGCACCCTGAGGCCTCCACGGCTGGTGCTGAGAAGCATGAATGCCCTCTCTAGAATGTGGCTGTCAGGGCCAGGCCTGGCTCACGTAGCCCGAAGGAGCCCAGCAGGTATGGATGGAACATGAGCGAGATGGTGTTTACATGAAACTTCTGCCAGGAGCAGAAAATAACTGACCGCCTTTGCAACACACGCTATCTCTGGTGACGGAGAATGGATTTCTCCCTGTGCGCGGCACTCTGGTCTGTTTGTGAAAGTGGGGCAGGCAGGACAAAACATTTACCTTTTCCAGAGCCTCTCTGTCAAGTAGTTCTTGCACAGCTAGGAGCTTGATGCTGTAAAGAAAAAGGAAACCACACTTGAAATCATTCTGTCACCAAAGCAGCATCACCCAAGTCACAAGAACAAAAGTGTGACACCTCGGCTTGCATTTCTGTGGCACCTCCATCCTAAGGTGACCCTTGACTTGAATCAAATAACCATTCTGAAAAATATTAAAATGTCTCAAAATTTTAAAGTGATTTTCCCAAGTGATTTAGCATTCGTAGTTTTGGTCTATTCCCTGAAGAACTGGAAGCATGCATTTGGAAAGACATTTGCACACCAATGCTCACAGCAACTGTATTCCTACTAACCAAAAGGTAGGTACAACTCAAATGTCCACTGACAAATTAATTCATAAGAAAAATGTAGCACAGAATAGTCAATCCATACATTATCCTGCCTTAAAAAGGAAAGAAATTCTAACACACACTACAACACAGAAGAACCCAGAAGACATTACGTGGCATGAAATAAGACAACACACAAGGCTTACATGAGGCAGGCACCTACAGTTGTCAAGAGGATAGAGACAGAAAGCAGAGTATGCTTTCCAGTGGCCTAGAAGTGGGAGAATGGAGACTTACTGTTATACGAGTATGGAATTTCCCAGGTTGGGATAAAGAGAAAGTTTCAGAGATGGATGGTGGTGATGATTACATAATAATGTATACTCCCTGTCATAGAACTGGTCGCTTAAAAATGGTTAACATGGTAGATTTTGTTATGTACATTTCACCAGAAAGTACTCAAACAGTAAGTGGTAGTCACTTCATTCAAAGCATTTGAATCGATTCAGAGGAGTGTGAAGAGGAAAACTGTCGCCAGGTCCAGTGTAGATCTTCACTGGGGTCCTTTGGGTGCATAATGAGCAAACAGCTAAAGTCCTTGCATCTAGCAGGGCCTGCCCCGCTGCACCCTGGCTCAGCAAAGACTGATGGAATCTATTGGGTGCAGGTGTCTGAGCTCCGATGATAACTACCCGCCTGCAAGGAGCTCACAACACCTTGGGAAACCCAGCTGGATGGGGATACGTGTACAATAGGCTAAGTGGGCACAAGAAAGTGTGGATGTGGGTCTGGCCCCAAAGAGGTCACAGGGGACTTCTGAGAGGGACCAAGATGGCCTTGGCAGGGGTCAGGTAGAGAAAAACGCCACCCAGCACACAGGAGGACAGGTCAGATTCTGGTCCTTCAGTGAGAGTCTTGATGTTCCCTACTGACCTGGCTAACGTGCATGGGGTCCCTGGTTCTGGTTCCCTAGTCTCCACCCCACCAGCCTGCACGGTTCTGCAGAGCAGAGACGGCCCCACCTGGACCTCACAGCTTCCTCTATGGGATAGTGCCAGGGGGTGGCTTCCCTTAAACTTGCATAATTCTTCACACTCTCTCTGGACAGTTAAGTACATCCAACCAAACGCAAAACACCAGCTCTAGGAAGTGCAATGAATATTTACAAGGTTATAATGAACCACCACCAATGACCATAATTGAGCAAACATCAGAAAGAACAGGTCTCTGGGTCTTCCCTTTGCTCCTAGCTCACCAGCTTTCCTTCTTAGCACTGGACAGGTCTGCTCTTGTTGCTTCTCTGGGTTGGAAGGGTTTTCCCCAAGCATTACAACACAAACCCCACCTCATCGCCTCACCCTGGTTGAAATGTGAACGCTGCCTCCTCCAAGCAGCCTCCACAGACACCAAGGGAAACACCGTCCTTGTTCCCAACAGTGTACTTTCCTGGATGCATTAAGTGGTATTTTTAAAGTATTTATTTGTTGGGGTGATTTTGCCCTGTCTCTTCCCAAGTATGGAGGTTCACAAATACATTTGCACATGGAAAGCATTCAAGGAGAATTTGCTGGCTAGGCTAAGATGTTTTCATAGCTCGGCTGTCCAGCCCACGCATTTCCACAATAAGTAAAAATCACAGGCCAGGCTTTAGTTTCTCCATCAAAAAAAAAAAAATGCTTCAAAGAGGACACCTAGATGGATATGCTAGGATGGTAGCTGCTGTGTGTGGGTGTGTGAGTCACTGCCACTAATGAAATCCTCCTGGTGGCAGGTCAAAGCCTCCGGCACACCTTAGCACATTCCCATCCCCCATGCACAAATAGAAAACTCCAGGTTAGCAATCCAGAGAGCAGCTCAGCTACCTAAGAGATGCTATGCAGTTCTAGCTCAAATTTCAGAAGCTTACATTGCATCTGAAATAACCACCGGAAAATACTGACATTGGAGGAAACTTTTTTTTTTTAAAGAGAAAAAACCCCCTAAAAATAACAAGAAAACAGAATTTCAAAACAGGTTAATAGGCGAGTTATGATAATTAATACATTGTGCATTGTTGTCTTCATAGTAGTTATTCAGAGTACAAGATATAGGCATGATATTGTCCAAACAATATTAGCACAAACCTTTCTTTCCAATGAACTAAGAGAAACTAGCTGCATAAATATCTTAACTGTCTTGTGTATAAATATATTTTTTTCTTTTTCCTTTCCTTTCTTTTGGAGGGACTTTTTTTTTTTTTTTTTTTTTGGTTTTTTTTTGGTTTTTCTCCGGTACCGGGAACCGAACTCACGACCTTGCGCTTGCCAGGCAGGCGCTTTGCCGCTGAGCTAAATCCCCAGCCCCCTGGAGGGACTTTTTAAATAGCCTTTTACCCCTGCCCCTTCTGAGGTCATGAAGTCTGATTTAGAATCAGATATCAGATATCAACAGGTCTGGGAAAAGTTTGGAGCGCTGTTATATTTACCTCTCTCTTCCTCTCTGTTCAAAAAGATACGGAGTTCAAATCACTATGGAATATGATCTGAAACCCTACAGTTTCAGGCTGTGGGTGAAAGTGAAATTAAAATAACTTAAATTGACTCTTCTTTAGGTAACAAGACGAAAGCTGCCACTCCCCGCCCTAGGACAGGAATCGCAAACCCCTGGTGCACATATTGCTTCCTTGCACCACCTCCCCCTCCATCCACAGAACTTCCCCGCACTAGCTCTGATTCAACCTCAGAATCCTTCTGGACGCCCTGCAAGCTGCCACTGAATGTGACCCAAAACCCATCTCACATCTGCTCTAAAACCAACGTCAAATAGAATTAATGGGAAGGGGAGTGAGGGAAGGCAGAAAAAATAGACACTTTCATCCTAGTAAAACCCAGACCTAAAATGGGGCAGCTTTAGGGGTAGCGGGAGAGAAGCTGACAAACGACCAAAACCTACAGAACTTGAGTTTCAAAATGGGAACCGTGGGTGTTGCTGGGAGCTGCTGCCCCACTGGTTCTCTCTGTAAGCTGTGCCTCGTCCTCCTGCAAGCTGCTGTCTTAGAGAACATTCGCGGGTGTTCCCTGTTATGTAACTATCCTCATGTCATTCCTAGGGTACTGGACACTCTTCAAGTTTGTGGTAGTTATTTCAGTGTTTACGATATCAGATTCTTCTAGCTCATCAGGTACTTCCCAGGAGGAAATTTCATACACAGGAATGAGCAAGAGACCTACTTAGCAGATCTTCTTCTATTTGACACCATCTAACTCCGGGCCCTGGAAGAGCATCTCATAGCTCATTTTCAATTTATCCCTCCCTCCTCGTTCCTTCTGAGAATTCCAGAAACACACCTTGAAGACCTGCTGTATTTCAGAATCTGTGCCATGTGTCAGGGCACAAAACAAACACGAATCCACCCTTGCCCTGGAAGAGCTGAAGAGAAGTAGCATGCTGTGTGGGCGCATGCCCGAGCGCGGGTTGCCTTCCTCAGGACCTCCATGGTTCCAGCGGGACCAGGCGACCTGGCCAAAGGGACACAACTGTCAGTGGCCTGCAGCTTGCTCGGCATGCTCTGGTTAGTTCCCAGGTGATAGCTGCAATGAACTGCAACTTTCCTTTCTGCCTCTGCTTAGAAAAGGGAGCCAAATCACACAGAAGCAGCTGACAGAAGGGATGTAGTTCAAAAAAGCCAGCTTCAAGTGTAAGCCCCAAGTCAGACAGGTGACACTAGGATCACCCTGAATGTGTGCAACTAATGTCTGCTAAGCAAGCCTCCTCACCAAGGCAGGGTGCTTGAGGGCGACGATTCATCCAGCTGGAGTGCAGCTGGCACAGTGAGGTCCAGCAGGGACTGCAGAGGGCATGGGAGGGCAGGCACAGTGGGCAACGAGGAAGATCGGGGTGAGGGAGAGACAAGCTGCCCTGCACCCTGGCAGTGTGAGGGGCTGGGGACACAGACGAGAGAATGAGGCCACAAAGCACTCAGGGACAAACATCTAATTCTGGAGATGGACAGAGAGTACCCAGGCGGGACTGTGATCAATACTCTCTCCAGCGTCCTTCCTCTGCGGACTGACTCCTGCACTTGGCCTTTCCACTGCATTTATACTGATGAGACGGGGCATGAGATATGATGGTATGCAACAGACATGCGGTGTGATGAAAAATAGGAGGTGTGAATGTTTAAATAACAAATTTTAAAAATTATTTCAGTAAAAGTCACATTGCCATGACTCCTCCTCAAAAGATTCCTCCTTGCTTCAAACACTCTCGTCCCATTGCTCTGGCTACCTTCTGAAGCAGGTCTGGAAGTCCTTTTTGTGTGTTTCTGCGGCTGCCTTGATGTCTTGGAGTGATGCAAACATTTACAGCAATTTCTGTCCTGCAAAAATATTACGATGCATCCTCATCCACTTTATTCACCAGATCTGCAACTGTGTCACTTCCGGTTCTTCCCCAAGACAGAAATGATTCCCTTTCAACAAGGTTCTGGGCTGCTAACGCAGCACCGGTTCTGCAGCCCTCAGACCAAGGAGTCACTTCCACTTCCACTTCCAGGTTTGTTACTGAAGATGTTCATCTGGTGAGGCACCAGCTGCTCTCCATGGGACTCCTCTGGTGGACATGGGGCAGAGTGAGTTGGAAATCTCTGGACAGGATTCAACGCTGCAGACACCACGGAGAACATTCCTAACTCCTGGGAGGAGGTCACAGTGTTAACACGACAAGAGTTAGGAAGAGTTGATTCC